GGGAACTAAGTACTTAAGCAATGTCTTAAAAATAAAGCTATTTTTTTATTTCCCTCTGAGACACCTGGAGAATAAAATTCTCACAGAGCCACAGCCTAAGAGGGGTAAGCCGCTCTGTCGCATCAGAAAGTCCAAACTGTTTTTCTTAATGCTGTACAGAGATTCCGTCAATATCTGAAAGCGCATTTTTAGTTCTCTCTGAAACAACTGGAGAATAAAATTCTCACAAAGCCACAGCCTAAAAGGGCTAAGCGGCTCTGTTGCATCAGGAAGGCCAAACTGTTTTACTTAGTGCTGGACGAGGGCTCAAACAATATCTAAAAGCGCGTTTTTAGTTCCCTCTGAGAGACCTGGGGAATAAAATTCTCACAGAGCCACAGCCTAAAAAGGCTAAGCTGCTTTGTTGCATCAGGAAGGCGAAACATTTCTACTTAATGCTAAACAGGGGGTCAAACAATGTCTGAAAGCTCATTTTTAGTTCCCTCAAAAACACCTGGAGAATATAATTCTCACAGAAAATTGCTTCACGAACGAATTCCCTCATTTCAATTTTCCCCAATTCAGTAATTCATCACCAAGTACCATTTCCAGATCTTCTCCGCACGACGAAACTCTTTCTGTGACTTCTCTGGCCGCTTCCCGCTCTATTTTCTAGTAGTTGGAAGGAATTTAGTCATTCTTTGATCGCTGTAAACCCGCTTTTGTCTGCATTCCATCGGCGTATTAGAGGCTCGAGTTAAGGTTGAGAAAAAGATGAGTCGTTTTTCAACAGATGGCAAAAGTAAATAGAAATTATTTCTATTTACTTTTGTCAGTTCTTTGAAAACTGAAGAAGAATGCGCATTTGGAACGAGATAGAATTATATAAGAGTGGTGAAAAAATAGAGCACTTCTAGCTAATAATTTGTACTTTTTGAAACAGGGATTAGCTGATGCGTCTCACGTTGAAATTTATGCAACTGGTTCCCAAAAGTCAAACTCAGGTGACTGCTACCGCAGAGATGCCAATCTATTCGGAATTATAAGTCGGAAAAAACTGTAGTTTAAGGTGTCTCCGTAATTAATACGGGCGCATTTAGCTGTGACGAAGCTCCCGTCAAAACTTTCGTTTTCAGCTGCTTTTTTAACGCGATGGCTGAGAATCTTTGCAAAGAACAAGAGATATCATCCGGCAATAGTACGAAATATTCCGATTTCATTGATGGTAAATATATTTTGCAAAATTAGTGCTTAAAAGGACCCTTCTCTTCAAAGAAAATCGCATCTAATAAAAAAAATTGCTGATCTTTTTTACTGAAATTTCTGGTATCGGCTTTCATTGACATAATAAATATGCCAAAGGAATTTCGGAAAAATCGTTGGAACAGAAGTCTGTAACTAAAAGTCGCTCGAAATTCAGCTGTGAAATTGTTTTGGAATTTCAAAAATAAATTACTATCACGTAGAAGGAGCCACCAGTTTGAATTTTCGGGACAAGTAAATTCATAGTCGTACGGGCAATTTTTTGCCAGTGGGGGCGGTAAACCATTTGCCCAAAAAATTCTTGCAAGTCGCCCAAATTTTTACAAAACAGTCGAACAGAAACGAGGGCCATACGATGCAACAACATAGGCCGTACTAGCATATGAAAGTGGCTCGATACAGTTTTTCAGGGTCAATACCTGTGAAGGTGTTTTTGAGCATAGACTACGACACCATAAACAAACATTTGGAAAAATTGCCACCACGGTTGTATTAAATAAAGATGAAAATTTGTTATGATCCCGGGTTGCAATAACATCGGAGTTGTCATAGCTACCAAATGACGCCATTACCTATTACACTTGCAGCAGCATTTCTCACTGGGAACTGTTCTTCCAAAATCGTTCACGGGAGCATTTTCCTCCAACAGTCGCCTCGATGTTCGTGAAGTTAAAACGGATTGTGAGAGCGTTGCGGAGATGTTTTGGGATAAAGTTTTTATAGTTAGAAATACGGTAAAAAAGGAAAATCTTGATGTTTGGCCGTTATCTGTAGAAAACGAAGCGCTCTTGACATGCAATTTCACCTCATAGTAGTTTCAATCTTTCTAAAAACGTGGGTAAAAGATCATGGAGATAGCTCTGGCCAAAAAAGGATTTGAGTATGTAGTATGTATCATGGAGCTCTTGTTAGCAGTTTTGTAAACATTTCGGTCTACTTTAACAAATTACCGGTACTGAATAATTTTTAAACCACTCGATAGATTTTTTCAAAAAAATTACGATTCTTCGCGTAATGACCGTAATTCAAACTGAGAATTAGTCAGCCACTTCTTCACTTTCAGACCCATTGCTGATGCTATCTGCCATACACTGTTCTACGAGCGGAGATGATTCTAGAAAGTTAGGAGGAAGTTTATTCTAATCAATTCACGACTGGAAATAGCCCATTGCAGTACAGTGCCCAACAATAAAAAAAATCAGCACATGATGCCCTTCCCTTATAACCAAAAACTCATTACGTGCTAGGCAACCACTATCTCGTGTGAATGTAATAGTACTGGATTATTATGCCAACTTCAGGTTACAATAGAAAATATTTATATCTTCAAAATAATGATTTAAAAAACACGGAAACGTCTTAAAAAACTGGCTCTGCCCAAATTTTCTCTCGCTGCCCAAAAAATCTGAGTTGCCCAAAATTTGGGGGGGCTGCAGCCCCCCTCGCCCCCCCCCGGCCCGTACGCCTATGAGTAAATTCAATGTTTGCTAATTCTGAAAACAAAAGCCGATTGCCTAAAGTGCTATTTTTTAAAAGGTACTTTTTAGTTTTAGAAGCACTATAAATTGCTCCAAACCTTGCTCTGAAGTTGAATGACTTGTTCCTCGACATTTTTAAAATATCCCTTGGCAGTTTTGGCTCAAACTCCTACTGCATGTATTTTTATGTATTGGAATGCATTTTCAACGATTTTTACTGCTGTTCGTTGCTTCCAACTCAGGAAAAAGGTATTGAGATTGTACGCTACCTCGTATCAGAGCTCAGATAGAACTGTCCAACACCTTTGTTTATGACTACAAAATGAGCACGAGTAGCAGTTCTGCGAAGAATTCGCACCTCACCTACGGGGGACGAACGACAATGATGCCCATGCCTCTGAGCCGAATTACATCACAGTGCAAAATAAAATGATCGCAAAAATAATGCCCGTGAGTAAATTTACAAATCTGAAATTTCTGTTGCTCCTTCCTTACTTCAATGAATGGGTAGTTTTTTCTTGATTATTGCTCTGCAATACATGTTTATACAGATCGGTTCGCAGACATGGGCATCATTGACATTCGTCCCCCCTGGCTGAGGTGCGAATTCCTCGCAGAGATGCCGCTCGTGCGCATTTTCTGGTCATAAACAAAGGTGCTGGACAGTTCTGGCTGAGCTTCGATACAAGGTAGCCCACAATCTCAATACCTTTTTCCTGAATTGGAAGCAACGTTCAGCAGAAAAAGCCGTTGAGGATGCTTTGAAACACAACAAAATGTATGTAACAGCAGTTTGAACCAAAACTGCCAAGATATATTTTAAACATGTCGAGGAACAAGTCATTCAACTTCATAGGGGAAGGTTTGGAGCAATTTATACTGCTTCTAAAACTAAAAAGTACTTTTTAAAGAATGGCACTTTAGGCAATCGGCTTTTGTTTTCAGAATTAGCAAATATTGAATTTACTTGTCCCGAGAATTCGAACTGGTGGCTCCTTCTACCTGATAGTAATTTATTTTTGAAATTCCAAAACAATTTCACAGCTGAATTTTGAGCGCCTTTTAGTTACGGACTTTTTCTCCAACAATTTTACTGAAATTTCTCCGGCATATTTATTATGTCATTGAAAGCCGATACCAGAAATTATAGTAAAAGATATCAGCAAAATATTTTACTAGACGCGATTTACTTTGAACACTAGGGTCCTTTTAAACGCTAATTTCTCAAGAAATATTTACTATCAATGAAATCGTAATATTTCGTACTATTGCCAAATGATATCTGTTGTTCTTTGCAAAGTTTCGCAGCCATCGCTGTAAAAACGAAAAAGTTTTGACGGAAAATTTGTCACAGCTAAATGCTCCAATATTAATGACGGAGCCACCTTAAAGCCAAAACTAGAACAAGTCAATGAAATGGCAAGTCGTTCAGTAAACATGTACTTCTCAGTGGGACTTTTCCCTAGCGATAAAATTTATTCGGAATCATGAGTAGGAAAAACCCCTAGTTTAAAGCCAAAACTAGAATAAGCCAATGAAATTGCAAGTCGTTCTGTAAATATGTACTTGGGACTTTTCGGCCCAGCGATCTGATTGTTTCCACGAAGGAAGTTTATTCCTACAAAACACTTGCGGCGTCATTCGGTTCCATTCCCAGTTCAGTGAACATGAATGACGTGTCTTTTTCTAAACTGAACATTCTAAATCTCGCCATTCAACGTCAGTTTATTCATTTCCAAACTATTTAATGATAACAGTTTTTTGGAAAAATCATAAACGATGGCTTTTTTTAAATCATACACAGATGGATTTTGATAGGCACTAAAAATGAATACCCCCGACTCTAAAAATGCTCAAAACCGCCCATCCTTTTGTTGCGGTCTGCATTATGTAAGCCGGGCCTTCACTGGGTGACTAATGCTAAACAACGCCGGGAGTAGCTTTGAAAATTTAACCTGATGTTCTGAACTGGACTGTATCTTTACCGCAGTTGATTTACTTTTGACTAATTTCAAACAAAAACTATAATCCTCTGATACGATATCAATGATTTGGCAAAGACTGCCTTCTTATCTTTAATCCATTTTACAAGTGCACTAGGATCAAAGATCGTTTTTTCAGCAAATGTGAACAGAGAGAATGATCTAGCGGGTGAACGGTTCATTACCTCAAGATTGGGAAAGTGTCAAATTTCGAGATTTCACGGTTCTATGACTCGTACAGAAAATTGACCATTGATTAGAGCTAACAAGCAGCATAACTTTCATTTGACTGCTGGTTGCGTCACAGAGAACAGTACCTCGCAGTTTCCGTGGTAAGTACGCTGCTACCTTTTCAGTTACATAATCAATTACTTCTATTTTCTAAAGTGTATCTCAGTGTTCGTGGCTGAAGCAGCAGTCGGTTAATTGGCGATTAGGCTATTGCTCTGAGCTCGTCTTCCACATAGCCATAGCTGCCATAGGGTAAGTTTGAGTTTTCGGTCCCAAAAGCTCATATGTAAGTTGTGTTTGCGTTTGCGTTTGCTGATGATTCTTGTCCCTGCAAGCGATTGTCTAGAGCATAAGTTTGGGACTAACTGCTTGAACGGCAGAAATCTTAATGTGAGAACAGTTCGGAAATTCTCGAAAACATCCAATGTGGCGGCTCGAGTGTGGTGAAAACTGACAGTCAAAGGAGCCGTTTTATCGCCAGAGAAGCGTGATTTACGGTATTGTTGACGAAGTTTGCGTTTATTGTGAGTTTTGAAGAGTTCTTGGTCCTGTATAGTAAGTAATCTTTTTATAAATGTCTTATCATTATTACGACGAAACGCTTTCTGTGACTTCTCTTGCCCCCTTCCCGCTCTATTTTCTAGTAGTTGGAGGGAATTTAGTCATTCTTTGATCGCTTTAAACGCGCTTTCGTCTGCATTCCATCGGCGTATTAAAAGCTCGGGTTAGGTTGAGAAAAAGATGAGTCGTTTTACAATAGATGGCAAAAGTAAATAGAATTATTTCTATTTACTTTTGTCAGTTCTTTGAAAACTGAAGAAGAATGCGCATTTGGAACGAGATAGAATTATATAAGAGTGGTGAAAAAAAAATAGAGCATTTCTAGCTAATAATTTGTACTTTTTGAAGTAGGGATTAGCTGGTGCGTCTCACGTTGAAATTTATGCAACTGGTTCCCAAACGTCCAACTCAGGTGACTGGTACCGCAGAGATGCCAATCTATTCGGAATTATAAGTAGAAAAAAACCGTAGTTTAAAGCCAAAACTAGAACAAGTCAGTGAAATGGCAAGTCGTTCAGTAAACATGTACTTCTCAGTGGCACTTTTCCCTAGCGATAAAATTTATTCGGAATTATGAGTAGGAAAAACCCCTAGTTTAAAGCCAAAACTAGAATAAGCCAATGAAATGGCAAGTCGTTCTGTAAATATGTACTGGGGACTTTTCGGCCCATCGATCTGATTGTTTCCACGAAGGAAGTTTATTCCTACAAAACACTTGCGGCGTCATTCGGTTCCATTCCCAGAAACCGAAGACGCACATCCAAGACGTAATCAATTCACAGAAACGATGCGCCAGAGTAATCCTAGACAAAAAATGAGACAACCCCTCGGGGCATTAATTTAGAGACCTTAACGTCATACCATGATTTGATAAAAGAGAAGAACGCGCTTACAGCGGCATCCACTCTCGGTTGCTTGGAGATTAGATCGAGAACTGAGGAGGCGAATAATTCTACACGAAACAGGATTTACTCGCTAAAGGTTTTTTACTTCCTACTTTATCGACGTCGATACTTTTTATTTGTCTCTGAATTGATTTAGTACGCGTGTTAGCGACGACTGGAAATACGTCTGCGGTCGCAGGCTATACCCGTGTATAACTACACGAAAATTCAAGGGCCTCGATTCCAGAGAAATTACATCACAGGGTCCAGAGGAGATGTGTTTGTCGTTAGAACATCAAAACCCGTCGAAAACCTGTGAAAAAATGGGTTATTTTGGTCGCGTTACAGTTTCGTTACACATTCTATAGACCGCAAACCAAGAGACTGACAGCTCGCAAGATCGGCTTACAGTATAAAATACGGAAAGGGAGGAAACAAATAAACCGCATGCTCATCACAAGATCATTTGCATGCAATGAAAGTTTACAACACCCGATCATCGCAGTTTTGCTAATTAAGATTCTTGTTTTTTTTTTCTTTTCGACCACTCAGTAGTGTTCACTTGTTCCAAAGTAATCAACGCTTTCAAGCGATAGAATGAGTGGAACGACAAGTTTCAGAAAAGCTATAAATTTAATCTTTTCTTAAGCTTTCTTCGCAATACAATATACGAAGAAAAACGGGCTGCAGATTGTGAGTCTCGCTGCTTACGCAAGCGAGACTAACAAGTAATCAAAAAGTACCGGTGTCTCAGGGTTGTGCCTAAATTGTGCCTAAATCATACCGTCCAAAAGGACAGCCGAGGAGTACTAGGAACGAGATTCGGGCCGACTTCGGAAATTCTCGAAAACATCCAATATGGCGGCTCGAGGGTGGTGAAAACTGACAGCCAAAGGAGTCGTTTTATCGCCAGAGAAGCGTGATTTACGGTATTGTTGACGAAGTTGGCGTTTATTGTGAGCTTTGAAGAGTTCTTGGTCCTGTATAACAAGCAATCTTTTTATAAATGTCTTATCAATTTGTCTTGTCCCGCTGGCCGGTATTACCGAAGAAAATAGTACATATGTTGGTAATTTCGAAAACGAAGCACTCGAAAACGAAGACCGAAGCACCCAAACCTCGAAAACGAAGCACCCAAAACTCGAAAACGAAGCACCTTGGATCGAAAACGAAGCACCCATAACTCGCATTTCCGCCGCTGCGTGGGAGGCCCGGTGGGGGTCCGTGTGGCTTTCGTCCATTTGATTTTGATTCCAAATTGAAAATTGAAAATCAAAAATTCACAATCGTGATTTCCAATGTTTGATTCCTCAAGAATTGAAAATCACAAATTTACAATCTCAGTCGTCAATTTTTGTTTCTGAGAAACAAAATTGAAAAACAATTTTCAATGTTTTGAAAATCAAAAATATGAAAATTGAAAATGGTCAGTTGGTGGCCCGGTGGGGGTCCGTGTGGTTTTCGTCCATTTGATTTTGATTCCAAATTGAAAATTGAAAATCAAAAATTCACAATCGTGACTTCCAATGTTTGATTCCTCAAGAATTGAAAATCACAAATTTACAATCTCAGTCGTCAATTTTTGTTTCCAAGAAACAAAATTGAAAAACAATTTTCAATGTTTTGAAAATCAAAAATATGAAAATTGAAAATGGTCAGTTGGTGGTTTTTATTTCTTGTTTTTAAGGAAAAGGAAAACTAAACGATAATCTTCACTTTTGAGATTTTTGCTTGGTACCGAAGTTAAAATTGTACTTTCAGTTTCCTATTCCCTAAATTCAAGCTTATTAAAAATTCAAACTTGACAAAGCAATTTCATGTGTAAATAAACTGTGGGAAACAGAATTAATGCTGGTAAAATCCAAAATGAAAATCGTTTTTTGATTTTGCTAATTATGAAAAACAAAAATTGCCAACCGACTAAAAATACCTGTGACGGGAGGGGAGGGTAAAAGCGGAAGTGGCGCGACCGCAAACAAGATGGCGGTCGTCTTGCAGTGAAGGAGTGTTACGTGTTGTGTGTCTTCGTCAAGCTTTCTCTAGCGGAAATGTTACGCCAACAGGAAGCCAAAGCCTGCCTGTATCATGGTCGACACGTTTTCAAAGAATTAAGGTGAATGTTTTTTTACTGATAACCTTGCAGCATTACTCTACGCAGGGTAAAGCGTTTCAGATTGGGCAGTATAAAACATAGACCGCCGACTGCGGACTGCGGACTGCGGACTACGGACTGCGGACTGCGGACTGCGGACTGCGGACTGCGGACTGCGGACCACGGACAGCGGACTGGGTATATGTAAAACACGGACCAGGTATAAAATGCGAACTACGTACTATGTCTTAGTGTAATGATAATTAGTGAACTTACGCAACAGGACGGGAGAGGAAAGAAGGCGTCAAACCTTGTGTGATAAAAGTGACAATAATTTTGTTTGAAAAAAACTTTCCGCCAAACATCACCTTCCTTTAAACAGGTCTTTCTGCAAAAGACCAAAAAACGTTAATGTGAAGTGAAGATCATGACAAAAACAGGCGATTTATAGCCCTGTCACGTTTGTCACACACAAGCCTTTTGCCGTCCTCTTCTTTCTGTCGTCCTGTTGCGTAAACTAACTTTTGTCACTCGACGCTAACCGTGTATAACTCCTTTGTTGTTGTTAAAGTGAAGGGATTTAGGCTTTAACGATCAATGGTCAGGGGTACCCAACGACAATTTTCGGAAAATATCTGTTCGGAAGACGATTTGAGATCTAGAATTTTCGGAACATTTGTTGTAAAATTTTTGCTTCTCTGCCTCTCCTAGGATTTTCGAACATATAAAAACTACTATAATTGCCCATTTTTAACGGATTTTTACCCTTAAAAGGTCAACTAGAATTTTCGGGAGCCTTTTTTTCTGGCTGAAATTTTCAAAAGGTAAGTTTTGATCCCTATAATTTTCGGAATTTTCGGATCACTAGACTTTCAGCTAGGAAATCCGAACAGATGAAAAATTTTTAGGGGAGAAAAATATGCCCATATCTACCGTTTAAATACTAAAATTCGTTTAACAATGCTATGTTTAAGTGGTTTTGAACTATATTCTCGTTGGGTGCCCCTGAATGGTAGCCGCAGAGTTTTGATCAGAACTGTTTAAATATACTTTAATAGCAGGACCGGTTTTGGAAATCTAAGATGAACATTAACCAATTGTATCCAAAACAGCCACAAAAGTGATATCAACTATAAACGCTCTGTTCACAAACGAGCACATTGCTCAAATGACTTACAAGTGGCTCAGTTTTGGCCAAAATCACCAAGAATACCAGCGTTTTACACGCTGACCAAAATACATAAAACTATTCCTGCCGGCAGACCAATCGTCTCTGGTAGCGGTGGTCCCAAAGAACGCATTTCTAGTTTTGTGGACTCGCTTTTACCAGGCCAATCGCGCAACAACAAGAGTCTTACGTCGAGGACACTGCACTCAAAAGTGATATCATTGAAAACACGCCTCTTCCAGATGAAGCAATTTAAGCTACGCTAAACGTGTGTTCTCTCTGCACTAGCATTTCCCAGGAAGAGGGAATCGACATCGTCTGTCACCATTACGAAGAACATTATCAGTCAAAGTTACCTATCCTTACTTCATATTTGGGAGACTTAATGCGGGTGATCTTAACAGAAAACTAATTCAAATTCACCGACAAACACTACGTACAGACTCACGGCATTACAATGGCCACCAAAATGGCGGTTGCTTTCTCGGTCATTTTCATGGCTCACGTTGAGAAACAACTACTACATGCCAGCCCTTACAGCCATTTCTCCGGCTGGAAGAAATTTATTGATTACATATTCTCAGTGTGGACTCTTCCTGAGACCGAAATCAACAACTTTATTGATTTCGCGAACTCTTTCTGCACAACAATAAAATTTACACTGACGAACTGTCATCAAAACAAATTGTTTTCCTTGACCACTGAAGTTTTTAAAGGATCAAGATTCATTCGATTCAAACACATTATTTAAGCCGACAGAAACGTTTTAATATGCGAATTTCTCCTCATTTTACTCTCTCATCGTTAAAAAGGGCTTCGTATATGGAATGGCCTTGCACTTACTCAAAACGAACTCGGTTAAGGAATAATTCCCGATAACTGGAGTTAAAGAAGAAAGAGTTTTTAACTCGCCTTACAGTACGAGGCTACCCTCACGACCTTGTGGAAACAATCCTAGCCGAACTCCGCTTCGAATCGCGCAATGCGGGTTTATAAAATAAACCCCAAACAAAAGACTTTGCCGTTTGTAACGACTTTCTATCCTGCAACTCCGAATCTCAAAAAGATTCTAATGAAACACTGGCACCTTATTACGAGCAAAAACACACTATATCCCCACGCCCCCATTGGTTCATAGGGACTTGTCAGAAATTAACAGGGGGGAGGGGGAATGGGAATTTTAAATTGGGGTTCGGAAATGAGTGACCCATCCCTGCAATGGGATTGAAATTTGCTAACCCTCTCCTTGACCTTGGCCGAAAATATCATGACCCTCCCACTCTTGTATGAATGATAAAATCTAGTTCTTGCAATACACTAGGGTGAGTCAGTATTATGAAAGCTCAAAATATATGTCTAATCTGTTCTTTGTATTTATGCCATATACATACATTTTAGATGACAGCATGAAGAGTCCGACTCTGATTCTGACAGCTGATCACTCGACTCTCCTATTTCTCTCGGTTTTTTTTTTTACAAAATAAAGAACTTTTTTTTCTTTTGTGGGTGAACCTCTACATGATCACGGACACATATTTGCATGACCCTCCCCCTTTTAACGGCCCATTTTTCATGACCCCTCCCTTTTCTGCAGTCTCAAAAAGTTGTGACCCTCCCTCTGTTTCCACCCCCCCCCCCCTGCTAATTTTTGACAAGTCCCTTATTCTTAAAAGATTTTCTTGTTAGAGCGAAAATTCCTTCACTTTAACAACAACATGAAAGGAGTTATACATGGTTAGGGTCGAGTGACAATATTATCAGACTAAAAACATAGCACGTAGTTCGCATTTTATACCTGGTCCGTATTTTATATATACCCAGTCCGCAGTCCATGGTCCGCAGTCCGCAGTCCGGCCTCGGTTTACAGTTCGCAGCCGATCTGAAACGCTCTACCCGGCTGCGTTGCGTACGTATAATGTTGCAAGGTTACAATAAAAGCATACTTATCAGTGAAAAAACATTCAGATCATTTCTTTGAAAACGTCTCGGCCATGATACAGGCAAGCTTTTAGATTGCTGTTGGCGTAACTTTTCCCCAGAGACGGCTCGACAAAGACATGGAACACTCCTTCACAACAAGACGACCGCCATCTTGTTTGCAGTCGCACCACTTCCGGTTTTACCCTGCCCCACCCGTCACAGTTATATTTGGTCTGTTTTCAATTTTTGTTTTTCTCGACTACAAAAATCAAAAAACGATTTTCATTTCGGATTTCGTCATCATTGATACTGTTTCCCGCAGTTTCGTTACACATGAATAGCTTTGTCAAGTTTGAATTTTTAATAAGCTTGAATTTAGGGAATGGGAAACTGAAAATACAATTTTAACTTCGGTACCAAGCAAAAATCTCAAAATTGAAGATTATCGTTTAGTTTTCCTTTTCCTTAAAAACAAGAAATAAAAACCACCAACTGACCATTTTCAATTTTCAATTTTTGATTTTCAAAACATTGAAAATTGTTTTTCAATTTTATGTTTCTTAGAAACAAAAATTGACGATTGAGATTGTAAATTTGTGATTTTCAATTCTTGAGGAATCAAACATTGAAAATCACGATTGTGAATTTTTGATTTTCAATTTTCAATTTGAAATCAAAATCAAATGGACGAAAACCACACGGACCGGTGGGACGCCATGTATTGGTGACGTGATCAGAAAAGCGAGAACGCCCAAACTATTTCTAGAATGTTACTGTATTTCCAGTAAAAGCGAGTTAAAGTCGCAGGCTTGAGTCGATGATAGAGAGCTTTAGATTCTAAGACGAGCACGAGATTTTCTTAGTACTAAGTGGTGCTCGCGCGAACCAGCGTCATTTTGGCGGGAAAACGTGGTAGCCGTCGTCATTACGAGTCTTAACGATAATATCGAAGCGGCGAAAACAAGAGAACGAACGTAACCTCCTGCATATCCAATATCTTAGACTGCAAAACAATCGGTTTTTTTCTCAAAATCAGTAAAGAAGTCGGATCAAGTCGATAAAGAGTGGCGTAAGAGTAATACGCGCGAGCCTCACACTCCGTTTTCAGCCTCGTTTCAGAGGTAGTCCCTTGAAGGGATAGACGAGAGGGCCCTTCCTCGATCCTGAGACTGGGACCGAGTTATACGATCGCCGACAATTTTTCCGAATGGATCTTCGCACGTGAACAATTAAATCATGAGCTCTTTTGATATACAGTATGTGTGCAGAGGCTACAGTTATCTCTTCCCTCGAGTTGAATTAAGGTGAGTTTTAGAACGTTGCTTGTTCGTTTGCAGTTCTACTGAATTCGTAGAAAATATTGCTGATCAAGCTGTGCATTTAATTGACAATGGGCCCTGTGATCTATGTTTACGTCACATAGATGAAAGGTACCTCCAGTTTCAACGTTTTTTCTTTTGTTTAAAAATATGATAACAATAATAAAAAAGACATCAAGCTGTTGTTGCAGGATAAGAGATCGTTAAGAGAATTCCTATTCAGAGATCACAAGGCCCATACAATGGATTATGACACTTAATTATTATTATTTTTAAGCTTATTCTTATTTATTTTTGCCAGTGTTGGCCGGAACTCCTCTTCTTTGACAACACTACCTGTTATTCCAGTCTTATGCCATTTCACCATACTAAGTGACTACCAAGAGAATGGGCAAATTCTGTATTGCAATGTACAATCCCAGTTTGAAATGGACTATTGCATAATTGATATCAGCACTCCCCCTTAGCTTCGTTAAGGAAGTGAGCAAAGATCAATGGAATTCTCTAGGGGTATATTGTAATAGTTTTGGAAGTCCTTGAAGAATAGTCTTAAACATTGGAGTTATTCAGGGTAAACAAAGAATTCATGGAATTTTATTAAGAAAAAAAGGTACTGTTCAATAAGTTCCCCAGGGGTAAATTCATATCTTAAGGAAGTCTCCCGGGTGAATGCAGTCTAATAGAATTCGTCAGGAGTAAGAAGGAAGTTTATTATATGTTGTCAACCGGGAAGAGGGTGTGGCTATTAAATGTGATAGCCCAATTTTTTACTGCCATAATGAAGGAGGACAAAGCACACACAATGACTGCACGCAACAGCTTGCAAGGACTGGACAAAGCAAACATGATGTGATTTTATTTAGTTGGATAGTAAACCTTTTATTCAATGGTTTACAATGTAAAAGTATAATGGACATGGGTGTTTTGCCCATTGCTCGCCTATACATGAAACCATCCAACACATGATTGATAGAATTCACATAAAAAAAGTTATTCAAAATAACTAAGAATCACGAATCACCAGTGCCACTAACAAAAGGAGGGATAGAACAATCTGTTAGTATGCCAAGTTGTGACGGTTTCTTTTTGCATTACCTTGTATTAATTTGGTTTTTTCTGGCTTGACTGTTCATTAGCGACAGGCATGTGTCTCATTGTTTGTGATAAATAAACAATTTTTTTCCTCTGAAAGGATTCATCAAAGAGAATAGATTCTCCTAAGGCTTAAAATTCACATCCAATTTCTTTCTTAGATCCTTGGAAGTTATAAAAATTGGCAATTTCTTCATCTCTAAGTTATTATTTTTTTTTGGTAACAGCTGAAAAAAAAGTTCTGTCTCTGCTGTTTATTGAACTGATCAAACCAGAGAAAGAAGCTTTCAATGTATGTCAAGTTTTAAATTGACACAATATTTCTAGTACCACCACAATAACCTAATCAATACTTTGTTACAGGTGTAATTGTTATTTTATATTAATGTAATATAAGGTTTCTTGAAAGAATAATTGCTTCAACTACCGTAAAAAGGGTGAAGGTTTTTGCTCACAGCAGGAAGACTTGTTTTGATATCACATGAGTTTAAGTGTTTGTGTTTTTCTGGTTGCATTCAAAGCACAACCATTTTGTTGTTGGATGGAATGCAGATTCAGGGATATTAGCACAATCTGGATGGTACCACTCACAGCATCCACAACACTTGACATAAGCAGCGTTGTTGTTAGGCAATCACCATGGGCAGTAAATAGTTACATTTTTGCCTACCACAGGATGAACAAGCTCAACTGTATCATCAGTTGGTGGGAACTCGGTCATCCTCCAGGCAAGGCTCCAGGCAATCAACAAGGTGCTGGCGCATGGCTCTCTGGTCATCTCTTGGTGGTGGGGTCACCACCATGGCATAGAGTGGTGGCAAAGGCTATAGCAAAGAGTGCACAGTCATTGTAGCCCTTCCGCTTTTGCACTTTCTGATTCCTAATTTCAACTATGTTGCCTTTGTAGTGCAACATTCTACATGCATGTTGTACTGTTTTCCTGACAGGGCTTCCATACAGACTATCATATACTTTGACTTCCCCAGTGGGACAGGAAATGACATTGAGACACACCCAGTGTGACCCTGTGTTGATTATCTGTACAAATGCACTTGCAACAGGAGTCACTAGATCACCAACAATACTTGGATCTTCCAAGCCATCAACTAAAGGAAACTGACTTTTCAGGAGATCTTGAGCAGCTTCAACCTCTGAATCTGTTAGCCATCCGGTGGAACTAAGAATATTGCTTTTGCTGCTACTATAAAGGGTAATTTGTCTGTGTCCTGATGCATTCTGGTGACTTATCCACACAGCGGGAATTGGTGATGTTTCACTCACAAAGATTGCTCTGCCTTGGATTCTTGGTACCTTTTTTTTAGGCTCTTGTTTTGCATCCGTAGCTGTTGTTGTCTGCTTTCGTTTAACATGCACTTGTACTTTGTGATTTTCAGCAGTATTTCTTTTGGTATTTCCATTGGCAACAGTCAGCTTGTGGCCAAAAGGACAACTGTCATCTTGTATAACTGTATAGCTTGGTGACTGGTGTAACACTCTTCATGTCACTGGTTCCAACTGCTGAAGGGTTGCTTTCATCTTGTTTGACTGCTGTGCTTCTGGATTGATTGTCTGAAACAGGTTTTAAGTCTTCATCTTTCATATTGCTCTTAAATGCTCTGCTGACTCTCGAAGTGCCATTATCTTGAGTAACAGCTGCTCCTACTGGGCTTCTCAAATGCTTATTTGGTGCAAGGTCAGGGTGATTAAACTCAGGACAACCCTCTGCCACAACTTCTAGCTCAACTTCCACCTTGGCCCCTGTGGAGTTTTTGCTTGATGTAGCATTTTGTGGATCTACATGCCACCCCCTTTTTAAGTTGTTGGCTGCCTTTCCTACTCTGCCTGTATATTCACCCTTACGTTTTGCTAGAGGTAGATGTAGGGTCAGAGGTTTTCTTGTACTTTGCTTCATTTTTGGTTGCGAGCTCTTGGTTGAAGGCCGCTCAAGAAAGAATCCATTAGATGTCTTTGAAGCAGATTTTTCGATAATGCCGACACAGTGCTGCAGACATTTTCTAACATCTTCAAGTTTGCTGGCATCATCAACAATATAGGAAAGAGACTTCACCTGGTTTAGGAATCTCTGCACTGTGCTGCCACTGTGTTGTTGTTCCTCTGATTTGCCAAGATTGAAGCATTTTCTTTCTCAGAGATGTTTGGATGACTGGGCACATCTTGAGGCTCGATATCTGCAGGTTGCTCAGCTGTGTCTATGTTGATCACAGGAAAGATGATTTCTTCATCCAGTGAAAAAACGGAGAATTCCTGTAAGTGTCAGGCAGTTTCTCAAAACCCCAGTCAGGACTGTGTCTGAAAACTGCAAACATGTGTTGGCAAGGAAGGTGGCTGCTTTCCCATTCTTTGCAGGTACAAAGTGGTGGTTCGGTGTTTCCACCAAAAGAAACATGAAACCACATATTTACCACTGTTTGGCTATGTACCTTGAACTGGCCCTGGCCTTTATTGACAACATGGTGGGCTGGGATGGACTTGGCTAAATCTATTTTTTCTAGACAGTGTTGTACTATGTGACGTGGATGGTTGAAGAGGTATTGTGGCATTTTGTTATGGTACTGTTTATAAGAGTTTGAACGACTGGTGTTTTCATCAATGTACCTGCAATGAATATGCATATAGGAAATTGTAATTAACTTTGGCATTCTTGTATACATTTTTTTACTATCTTGACCAAATAAATAAAATTCTATGTTCTATATAATCCGTAATGTGTGCTATTAATCGGTGAATGTGATGTTGTTGTTGATCATAAATCACAATGCATTTATGTCCCAGCTGTTTTGGGAAGGTGGTTTTGGCATGATACAAAGTGCCGTCCTCTGACAATCACTGAGACAGATAAAATAATGTCAACAGATCTAGAAACGTCATGGTCATTCTACAACTGCTATTTGAATACCTTATTTGTTTTTTTGTTAAATCCCCTTTTCTACCTTAATTTCTACCTCCACGTAAGTCGGACCTTTTCTCTCCTCTACGTTTTGTTCCCTTTCCAAGGATGATATTAAAATATTGCAAATTCCAAAGGGAGAAAGAAAGTATGAAGCCAATTGGAATTCTCCGAGGGGTGAGGCCCGTGTGAAAAACCTCCATGGAATTCCGTGGAATTCCATGGAGGATTAGGACATCAATTTCCATGGAATTCCATGGAAATTTCTCCATTGATTTCCATGGAAAATATTTGCATGGAGGATTAGGACATTTCCCATGGAATTCCATGGAAAACATTAGGGCACCAATTTCCATGGAATTCCATGGAAATTTCTGCATTGACATTTTCCATGGAGGATTATGACATTTTCTATGGAATTCCATGGAAACTACTCCATCGATTATTCCATGGATCCCCATGGAGTTTCATGGTATTCTCAGGAATTAGACATTTAAAATATCCAGTGAATCAAATGGAATACATAACAGATTTTGGTCCAATGCAATTTATTTAATCAATAAAAGGACCGCATAAATCTGTTTTTAAAGACAACAATTAAAAGTTAACATGCTTTTGGTGGAAAATTTGACATACTGTAGCTTAAAAAATTAATATTAATGTTTACTTGTGACTATATACATTGCAGTTTAGAATGCAGCCATCATATTGAAGTAGCTTAAATGAAAAATTTAGATTTAATATGATTAATAAAGCAAGGAATCTTGGCCTGGTGTTTAAGAAAAGTGCATGCATATTTGAGAGGAAAAAAAATAAGCTAATACTTGAATGCATAAACCGTCAGTATGTAAGACTTAAACATGGCTTTATTTAATGCGACGACAAAGGGAAGTGCTACTTATTTCCTCGATCAGAACCACTATGGTATTTAGTTGTAGCAAAGTCCTACCTAATCCTTGGGAAAAAACGGCGTCAGCCACAATTATAATTTATCAGTCTCTTGTATAGTTTTTACGTAGCAGGCATGAAAGTTCTAAATATGATATTTCTTCTTATGCATCGAAGCAGTCCATCGAAGTACAGTCTCCGATTTCTAATTCTGCCAGAATTAGTAATTATTCCAAAGGATTCCAAAGACAATTTGCAGGAAAGACCACATTCTTATCTGTATAAACAAAAAAGATGGAAACTACATATTAAAACCGATAAACAGCACCCGAAAAGTCATCCTTCTAAATCAAGCAGAGACATAATCGAGCGGACGAATTCAGTTGAGCAACCAAACACGAGTTGTGTACATATTAAGCGTACCTTCCTCTTTAATGTGCGATCCAGCTGAGTCATTGTTTAATCGAAGTCGATTTGAAAGAAGCCAAATGTAAGCAACCTCACAAGTGATATTTTGCGTTGAAAATAACATCTTTTTCGGATGCATTCATCGCTAAAACAATCCGTTTACACAACACTGTCGTACTGCACAGAAGTCCGCCTAAATATAGATCGTTTTCACTGTCACGCAACAAAAAAATAAATTGAAAACCGTCCAGTGAAAGCCAAGAAAATGATATGTTATAAAAGACTATTATTTAAACAATTTGTCCAAGTCTCAGGTCTTTTTGGCCCACAGTTTCTGAGTTATTTGCCGAAACGTTTCATGCATCTTTGTAGAGCTTTGTATGGAGACGCCATATTGGTGCACAGTTTTGGTGCACCAATATGGCCGCCGATAATCAACAAAAACATCTGGAGTTCACTTGTTCTATAGAAGCTCCTTCTTTTCACTCGAGAACTAGCCTACGTGCGCATAAACATATCTTCTAATACTTGAAATGGTTATACTGCTGAAAATCAAGAGGAGAGACTTTTTTCCAGCAGTCCTATTTTGGTGTCACGCACTGTGAAAACTCGGAAGTTCAAATTGCTGTATTTTCGAAATGAAACATGCTATGGGACTGAAAACTTGTAAAAAGATTAACTTTTTGTTTATCTTCAACCTAGTGTAAATAAGAATTCGTAAAACCTCGCTATTTTGACTTTACAATTTGATGACGTCACTGTGAAAACCATCTATTCGAACCAAGAAAACTGATCTTCTACGCATTTCTATTGGTTCAAAAGCCCCAAGTGATCGCGTAAGTCACTAAGCGGAGAGGTCTGGACGCCAGTTCAAGCACCAAACATGGCGTCAAATCACGGCACGATCGTGGAGATGTCTGTCTTTAAAGGCTTTAAATTGTGGTCCCTTTCAGAGTTAATTGTACTATTCCGACGCTGTCGAAGAGTAAAGCAGTGAGAGGAAAATACTGCATTGTTCTCCCAAGTGAGGGAACCTTTGAAAAAAGGCAGCAGTCTGATATACACAGCCGTTCTGAGTGTCGTCACGCAACGCTCCTTCCCACTAAAAACGGCTGGGTAGCAGACTAGCCTATCCACGGATGCGGCAAAAAAAACTCTAATATTGCTTGTGTAGGTTGGCCGAAGTACTTCATACAAAGCAATCTCATCAATCAGGTTGGACTCGAGTAATAGGGAAAATCTTAGCTCTCAACCAAAACACACTTCAATACCGAGAAGAGTTATGTGCGTAGTGGGATCATTTCCAGTACTGGCTATTTAAGTACGGGACCCGTACATCGTCTTGTATTTGCTATTCATACGGGATTCCGACTAAACTGATTAGGTATATTTAAGCACTGACTCGAAACTGTTAGCCTCTAATTAGGGTTACGGTTGTTGTTATTATATTATTATATGTGAATAAAATCAAACTCCACCGTAGCGAGTTACTACTCCGCAGTAGAGTGGTAACGCGACGAATTATGGATTCTACGTCCCTGGATCGGTTCTCAATCTTAATTGCCACATCGAATTTTTCTTCTTTTCAAAATTTGCCGCTGAAATTTTTCCTTAAAAATGGAACAGTGGTTGAAGAGACTTACACTTTCATGGAAATTTGTGGATCAGAAATTTCAAGAGATTTTAAGTAGAGACTTGATCCTGTATGTCATAGCAAATACACGTTGGTGTACGGGTTCTGTACGAATAGCAGCACTGTGTCAATGTAATGAAGCAATTGCATGTTGTTAATAACAGTGATCTTCTCATATTTTAAATGCAACTCTGATTTTAAAAGATAAATGGCAGACAGCCCTACTAAAAAATAATTTTCTATATTTATTTTTTTTAACAGGATCATTTTTTTATTAAGCACACAAAACATTCCTCTTTATAGTTAGCAATAAAATTTCTTACACTGGGACTTTCAGCGTCGGTGAACATTATACTTTTGCATTATCTGTGTAATTTAAACGCACTAGCTATTTTGCTTTTAGAAAGCTTCCAAATGTTTCCTATTTTTCTATCCAATAAAAAGTGCAGACTTGAACATGTGGTTAACAAGTTGATGAGTTGCTTGATTACTGAATTTCTATGGATTTTCTCATACAAACTGCATGGTATTCTATCTAACTCCATGGGTACGCTATGGCATTCCATGGAACTGCATCGGTACTTCAGGGAACCCCATGGCATTCCATGGAACTCCACGATATTCCATGGAATTTCATGGCATTCCATGGAACTCCATCACTACTTCATGGAACTCCGTGGAACTCCATGGCATTCCATGGAACTCCATGGATACTCTATGGATACTCCATGGAAGTTCCGTGGAATTCCATGGATTTCCATCTATTTCCATGGAATTCCATGGATTTCCATAGATTTCAATGGATTTCCATGGATTTCCATGGAATTCCATGGAGGTATTTTACACAGGGGTGAAACTTACTTTGCATATTTGTCTGGCAGGAATTGTTCTAGCAGAATTGACACCATTGTGCTAAGATTTGCATTTCTGTTTCCTTCTAGGTACTCATATTTAAATGCTTTGTTTTGGATGTGAATTTTAAGCCTTAGGAGAATCTCTTCTCTTTGATGAATCCTTTGAGAGGAAAAAAATTGTTTATTTATCACAAACAATGAGTCACATGCCTGTCGCTAATGGACAGTCAAGCCAGAAAAAACAAAATTAATACAAGGTAATGCAAAAAGAAACCATCACAACTTGGCATACTAACAGATTGTTCTATCCCTCCTTTTGTTAGTGGCACTGGTGATTCGTGATTCTTAGTTATTTTGAATAACTTTTTTTATGTGAATTCTATCAATCATGTGTTGGATGGTTTCATGTATAGGCGAGCAATGAGCAAAACACCCATGTCCATTATACTTTTACATTGTAAACCAATGAATAAAAGGTTTACTATCCAACTAAATAAAATCACATCATGTTTGCTTTGTCCAGTCCTTGCATGCTGTTGCGTGCGCTCATTGTGTGTGCTTTGTCCTCCTTCATTATGGCAGTAAAAAATTGGGCTATCACATTTAATAGCCACACCCTCTTCCCGATTGACAACATATAATAAACTTCCTTCTTACTCCTGACGAATTCTATTAGACTGCATTCACCCGGGAGACTTCCTTAAGATATGAATTTACCCCTGAGGAACTTATTGAACAGTACTTTTTTTTCTTAATAAAATTCCATGAATTCTTTGTTTACCCTGAATAACTCCAATGTTTAAGACTATTCTTCAAGGACTTCCAAAACTATTACAATATACCCCTAGAGAATTCCACTGATCTTTGCTCCCTTCCTTAACGAAGCTAAGGGGGAGTGCTGATATCAATTATGCAATAGTCCATTTCAAACTGGGATTGTACATTGCAATACAGAATTTGCCCATTCTCTTGGTAGTCACTTAGTATGGTGAAATGGCATAAGACTGGAATAACAGGTAGTGTTGTCAAAGAAGAGGAGTCCCGGCCAACACTGGCAAAAATAAATAAGAATAAGCTTAAAAATAATAATAATTAAGTGTCATAATCCATTGTATGGGCCTTGTGATCTCTGAATAGGAATTCTCTTAACGATCTCTTATCCTGCAACAACAGCTTGATGTCTTTTTTATTATTGTTATCATATTTTTAAACAAAAGAAAAAACGTTGAAACTGGAGGTACCTTTCATCTATGTGACGTAAACATAGATCACAGGGCCCATTGTCAATTAAATGCACAGCTTGATCAGCAATATTTTCTACGAATTCAGTAGAACTACAAACGAACAAGCAACGTTCTAAAACTCACCTTAATTCAACTCGAGGGAAGAGATAACTGTAGCCTCTGCACACATACTGTATATCAAAAGAGCTCATGATTTAATTGTTCACGTACGAAGATCCATTCGGAAAAATTGTCGGCGATCGTATAACTCGGTCCCAGTCTCAGGATCGAGGAAGGGCCCTCTCGTCTATCCCTTCAAGTGACTACCCGTTTCAGACCTTTTGTGTTACTGCTCACGCGTACTTGAATACGCCAAAATCTGCTGACGGACAGTTTTGTTACAATTATTGTAACGACATAGTATCACGATGGTCAAGATTCCTGTTTTAATCTTAGAAGTACATTGCGCACATTGTGACGTCATAATTACATAATTTATGACACTCTCCCGGGCCGATTAGATAAGAAATAATATGGAATGATTAGCAAAGGATAAAAGTTTAAGACTAGTATCGTAATGAATCTGATATCGTTCATGTCAAGTATTCATTTGTGATTGTTCACGGATTCTATGAATTGCCTTCTGAGCGGCAAGTCGTACTGGGAAACGTCGTTTATCAGCTATAGCTTCTTTGTCTTCCTTCTCAATACCTTGTGCATTGTTCTCGCTCGACACTTCCAATGGATAAAGCTTCTCTATGGGTCTTAATAGTTCATTACCAGAACTTCTTCTTAAAGATACAGATCTGACTAATCCGTCTTTCCCTTTATGTAAATCAGTAACAACACCTATTTTCCACTGATTACGTGGTACATTATCATGTATGAGAACAACGTCTCCTATAGCAACTGCTGTCTTGTTTGATGCTTTCTTTTGGTAAGAGTTATATTCACGCAGGCTTGTCAGATATTCCTTTTGCCATCGTGTCCAGAAGGCTTGTATCACTATCTCGTGATACTTTGCTCTCTTCGTTAGCTCTTTTATTGAAACATCAGTTGGGATATAGTCTGGATCTGATTCTTTGACGCTAACTCTTGTGTCTGGTAATGTCAGAAGACGGTCCACATAAGAAAGGTGATGGCGTTAAGGGAGAGGCATCGTTAATATCCACGTAAGGATATGTCAAGGGACGGCTGTTTAACACTGCCTCTACCTCAATGAGTATGGTGTTCAGTTCAATCATGTTCAGATAGGCTTTGCCTATAGTTTTTTTGAGACATCTTTTCACTAGTCCAATAAGTCTTTCGTAGAATCCTCCCCACCACGGAGCTCGTTCTGTTATGAATTTCCAAGTGATGTTATGGTTGGCGAGGAACTGTTGTGATGCATTTGGCTTGAGGACTTGGTTTTTTATCGTTTGGAGTTCTTGAGCTCCAGCTTTGAAGGTTTTTGCATTGTCAGAAATGATACACTCGGGAACACCTCTTCGACTAATGAATCTTTTGAATGCCCTAAGAAAGGCCTGGGTTGTCTGATCTTCCACTATGTATGGTGTATGGCTCGTACTGCGGCACAAGTGAATGGACAAATATAAACTTTAGAGGAAGTTTGATTTCCTTGGTCACGAACATAATGAGGACCTGCGTAATCGATGCCTGTAAATTGAAAGGCCTGTGATTGTAGAACTCTTGATTTCGGTAAAAGTGGTGTGGGTACAGATCGAAATGGTGGTCCTTGGATTTTTCTACATGTCACGCACTTGGAGATGATTTTTTTAACTAACTGTCGACCTTGTGGTATCCAATATGTTTGTCTGATGTGAGTTAGTGTTTCACAAACTCCACCATGCATAACCGTCTTGTGCATAGATTGGACGATGAGTGTAGTCAAGTAATTATCTTTTGGTATGAGGATGGGAAACTTTGCATCGTAGGGTAGATCTGTGTACCGTAACCTTCCACTACAGCGAAGTAGGTCTTCATCGTCAAGATAAAGATTGAGTTGTCGTACGATGGCAGGTTTTTTGAATTTATCGCTGTTCTTTAGGTATGATATTTCTTGTTTGTAAGTTATTTGTTGAGTTGCTTTTAGTAACAAATTTCTGGCTTCCAGCATTTCTTTTGTGGTGAGGATGTTATCATTATACACTTCGGGTGTTTTCCACTTTCTTGCAAAGAGTACAAGAAGGGCAGTGACTCTGACTACGCGTATTAGAGTGCTGTATTTCGTTAAGTCAATGATGTTCAGTATGTTTGGACTTTCTTCAATATCTGGCATAACTGTAACTGCCAATTGTGGGCTCTCGTACTCTGCATGGATTGATGTTCCGGGTTGTCGAGGCCATTTGTCTTCTGGCTCTCTCAGCCACGGCGGTCCTTGAAACCATAGCTGTTTCCTGTCATTGAATATTTTTGTATCAAGTCCCCGAGTCAGCAAGTCGGCTGGATTCATCGATGTTGGGCAAAATCTCCATGTGTTGGATGATGTTATTTCTTTTATCTTGTGTACTCGCGTACGAACAAATTGTGGTAATTGTTTAGTAGACGATATCCAAGATAACACTGTTTGGGAATCACTCCAGTATATGACTTCGCATTTGGTTTTGGTGAGCTGTAGTGTCTTGGTTAGATATTCAGATAATTGCGCTCCTAAGAGTGCTGCTAACAATTCCAGTCGCGGAAGGTTCTGTGTTTTAATGGGTGCAACTCTGGTTTTAGCTATTGTGAACGCAGTGTATATTTCAGCTCCTGACATTCCTCTTAGGTAAGCTACTGCTCCCGTAAGCTAGTTGGCTGCTGTCGCAGAATATATGAAGTTGCCTATTAGAAATGCTTGTGAGCAAGTATGGTCTGGGTATTTCAACCGACGTCAAATTGCTGATATTGCTGATCCAGTTTAGCCATTGGTCTTTATTTTCGCTTGGAACATTCTCATCCCAGCTCAAGTTTTGTTTCCATAGATCCTGGATCATGATCTTTGCTTTAACTGTAATGGGTTCAACATATCCCAGGGGGTCAAACAATTTTGACGCAAAGCTGATCGTGGATCTCTTAGTAAGTTTTGTGATAGCTTCTGATTTTCTGATCCTTTTTTCTAGTGAAAGGGATAGCATGTCATTTGTTGAGTTCCACGTGAGTCCTAGGATATTTGTCGTTTGAGCTGCATGTGCATTATCTTCTTGTGCTCTGAGATTTAAAGCGGTTGAGTTAGAGGTCCACTGTCGTAGATTCATGCCTGCTTCTTGTAGATAGCTTCGCGACAAAGAATAATATTCTAAGGCTTTATCGTCACAATTAGTTCCTGTGACCACATTGTCTATGTACATGTTCTCTGTTAGGTCCTTCGTTATCCAGTTATCTTTTTCGTTGAGGTGATATCGTATTGTTGCGTTTAGTAGAAAGGGTGAGGGCGCTGCTCCAAATAGAACGCGGCAAAATCTGTAAGCTTCCAAATTGTCCACACTGTTAACGGATTTGTTTATGTCTTTTAGCCATAAGAATCTAGTAGCGTCCCTGTCTTGGTTATTTAGTTCGATTTGTAGGAAAGCTTTTTCTATATCTGCTGTCAAGGCTATTCTGTGGGTCCTGAACTTAAGTAGGATACCAGTTAGATCCTGCATTAGATTTGGACCTGTGTGTAGACAGTCATTTAGACTCAATGCTTCTGATGACACTCTGGCAGATGCGTCATAAACTATGCGCATCTTGGTTGTCGCGCTGTCTGATTTAAACACAGGGAAGTGGGGAATGTAATGCAAAATGCCTTCGTGAAGATTGAGGTTCGTCACTTTCTCTATGAAACCGAGATTAACTTGTTCAAGGAGTTGTTCGTTGTATTTCTTAATAAGTCCTAGGTCTTTCTTGTTGAGGCTGTTTAGAAGACTGTTCAATCGTCTTTCGCTTAAAATGAGGTTTGTTGGTAGATCGTGTTTGTTTGGTTTCCATGGGAGTCTTACGTTGTATCTGCCAGTTACCTTATTAAATCGGATGGTCTTCTGAAATTTTATGATGATATCATCATTGGAAACGACTATTACGGTCAGCTGATTACTGGAAAAATAATAAAAACTTTATGTAGACTTTTGAAGTCTACATAAACATGTATGTGTACCGAAAAAATGCATATTAAGGTAAGATGTATCAAGTATAGCGAGACCAATAATAAAATTACAGCGGTTACCACGAACACGCGCCTTTGGAGGTTTTTTTTCTGTGTGTTTAAACCTGAGTTTTCGTGGACGTCAATCAACTGTTTCCATGGTTTTCCACGCGCTCTGACATTCATCGCTGAATGAAGGGCGAATAATTTCGAACGACGACGGCTTTTTAAATTATGTTATTAAGATGAAGGATCACATTGTTAAAACAACGAGGTCTCTGCGAGCTGAGTGAAATAGCCGAAACATTCCCTATAGTTTACGTAACGGTTTTCAGGTTGTTTATTTATTTGATTGGATGAAAACACGGGAGCCGTGGACGCATTGCCAAGAAGCTAGTATAAATTCAAAGAAACAAAAGACATCACACTGAAAAGGGAAAAAGTTTCCTCTGAATGGAGGCTGTTTCCGAAAATGAATTTTACTACTTATTTCATTCTTCATGTTATCGAATAGAAACCAGAACTAGCAAGAACTCAGAGCGATTGAGAAAGCTTATGTGGTTGTAACTTAAAGTGTGTAAATATGTCGATAATTTGAGTTTCCTCCGAAAAACACTCAACAAATTCTTTCTCCTCGTAATCTTGACATGCAGCGGCGTCAGATCCTGCAGCAAAATATTGCAAAAACGGCTGAAACGCCGACATATTCTTCCGAGTGCTCAATAAACGGAGAACTTGAGAATCTTCTCTAGGCCAACGCGTGAAAAACCATGGTAACGATTGATTGACGTCCACCAAAACGCAGGTTTGAACTGAAGGAAAAACCCTTTGAAGGCGCGCGTTAGTGATAACCGCTGTAATACAGTATATCCTATCTAGAAAAGTTCAGTTAAATAGTTGGCAGGCTCTTATAAAACCTTGGGATGGATTTTGTGGACCTTTGGAGGAGCGGACGCATCCGCTACCTCCACCTGATTCAGGTGCTTCGTTTTCGAGTTTTGGGGTCTTCGTTTTCGAGATTTGGGTGCTTCGTTTTCGATCTAGGGTGCTTCGTTTTCGAGTTTTGGGTGCTTCGTTTTCGAGATTTGGGTGCTTCGTTTTAAATCTAGGGTGCTTCGTCTTCGAGATTTGGGTGCTTCGTGCCTCGGTCTTCGTTTTCGAGTGCTTCGTTCTCGAAACTACCACATTTGTTGGCACGTACATCATCTCTAGCTTTGATTGTTAAACCGTGTTGTAGGACTGGATTACTGCAGGTTTCTACAAGCTTAGGATAACTCTATGGGAACATTTTAATTCATAAAGGTGGCCTTCTCCTTTTGGCTGGTGGTACCGAAGAAAATGGTACCTTCCTTGATTTCTGTAGGTTTCTACTAGCTTACGATAACTGTATAGGAATATTTTTATTCGTAAAAGTGGCCCTATCCTTTTCGCTGGTATTACCTGAGAAAGGTACCCTCCATATATGGGTTTTTAATTGCTAAACGATCATTCAAGTTTCAATAACATTGAAAACAGGGAACGCTTTTAAATAGGGTCTCAAATATAATAAAGATTTTGTGTTTACAAGTGAGCATTCTCATTATTCACTGCTGGCATTGTTTCCAAGTTTCATATGCACGTGCACAACGAGCAAAAAAGTAGAATTTGCATCAAAAAGGACCCTCGGTCACATGTGAAACTTGCAGGGTGTATTTATTGACAATTGATCTCTGAATTGTCAAGTGTATAAAAAAATTGATTGAGCAGTTTTTTGACTAATGTGAAATTTGTAGGCATGGACCAAATTACGTGCAAAAACTGTAACAAAAGCAGCTGAATGCAGGTTAATAAAATTCATCTTACTCGCGATCGCCCAGAGCAATTCCCCTCTCTTTTTGTAGGCAGTTTTCAATGGAAGCAAACCACTATGAGATGAAGCCGCGCTTTCAAAGCTTATCATTTTCTTTAAGTATTAGCTAATAGTGTGGATAGCCACTGGAATGCAGGATGATTGTTAGGCGTAATCGGCTCTACATGATAAAGTATATGTAACTGGCTTTTACTACTCTATTCGCGGAGCACCATGCGCATGCCATTAAATGTGGTGCGGGAAAACTGTCAGTAATCTCTGACACTGCTACCCGGTTCAGGTCTGGCGAACCGTTGACGAGTTTCAAGCCACTGAAAGGCAAACATGAAATGACCATCACAAATCCCAGAAACCCATACCGCATCGCTCGTCGCACGGGTTACCAAGGAGCACGTTCTGCTGCTGTCCCGACCTCGGCACAGTGATCGGAAAATCAGCTACGGGGTGAACAAGCCAAATTTCTTACATGCGAAAAACCTACATTGATTTCTACCTTCAATGATCATACGCTAAACCCTATAAATCAGATGTCCGAACTTGTCTTATCTGCCATCGAACTGAATATCAATGTCATCTGTATTCAGAAACATCGTTACTTTCACTCTGATGTTTAACTAAAACATCATGATTTCGGGAAAGGCTGGATCTTCATCTCAGCCCCTTCTTGGAAAAATTCCATAGGTGCTACCAGTGGACTGAGTAACATGCCAACACCGCCAATAGCTCATAAAGCGCTCACAAGCATCAAAGAAATTGAACCCAGAGTCCCCATAGCTAGCTTCAACGCCAATGCCAAAACAACCGTCATCTCCTGCTATTCACCAACAAACTCTAGCGATAAAGACGAGGTGACACATTTCTATGTTTGTCTCTTCTCTTGTCAGACAAGTTCCAAACCATAACGTCCTGATCATCGGCGGAGATATGAATGCTCAGATTGGTATCAGCAACGTACATTAGTCTGCTTACCATATGTCTTCTAACAGAAACTGTCTCAAGAGAATCAACAGAATCAGTGGAATCATTTATAAATCTAGAAAGTGAAATCAGTTCCATGCACCCAAAAAGACACGAAAATTCGCATAGCTAAAGCCTGGAATGCCCTGAATAACATGGACACAATGTGGAGATCCGTTCTTTCAGACAACCTCAAACGGAGCTTTTTTCATGCCACTTTTGAATCAGTTTTAATGTATGGTGCCTCTGCCTGGTCATTAACTAAATCCCTCGAGTCCAAACTCGATAGAACCTATAACGGGATGCTGAGAGCCATACTTAACATCTTCTGGAGACAACATCCAACCAAACTGCAGCTTCGTGGACCCATCCCTGATATTTCTACAATCTTTCGTGAACGAAGAATGCGCTTTGCAGGTCACTGCTGGCGAGCAAAACTAGAACTCGCAAGCGAGCTACTGCTCTGGTCACCTGACCATGGTAAAAGGCGGGTTGGTTGCCCTACAATCACCTATATCAATCAACCCTGTAGAGACACGGGATGCCTTCCAAACGCTCTCCCTGCTTTGTGGAAGGACCGTGATGGATGGAATAATAGACTCATGAATGCCAGAGCTAGTTCGACCTGATGTTGATGTGTGGATAGCATGCTATTTCACTGTTTTTATGATTCTTAAAACTTTGTTTCAAATATTTCCAAAACGCTTTCATAAAATTTGTTCAAACTTTGCCGTAATTGAGACAATTATGGCAGGTAAATACTCCCTTAAGCGATTTCTTAAAAAAACTCCTAGTACAGAGAAACACAAAGATAAATAAAAAACTTAATGGTGTCATTACGTTCCCATGGCGACTCCGATTGCAATAAAACCCAGGTCATAAGAAATGTTCATCTTTATATAACACAGTTGTGGTAACCTTTTTCCCATATCTTTACTCATGCCGAAGTAGTTAATGCTCAAAATTGTGAGGTATCCCCCCCAAAAAAATCCAATCGAGCCACCTTAAGGAGGGTCTCAAATCTGACCCGACTAATTATAGGCTATTCTCTGATTTGCCTGTAGTTAGTAAGTTACTTGAAAGAGTTGTTTTTAACCAGCTGTATCAGTATCTACGTGGCAATAATCTACTAACAGATTCTCCGTCTGGTTTTAGACCTTAATGTTTTCCACTGAAACAGCTTTGTTAGAGGCTGCTTTAACACTTTGTAGATGCAGATCGCATTACATTGTTACACTCGAACATAAAGATGGTGTGGATGGCGACAGTTATGTCCATTTCCAACGTCCATAACAATTGCTGTTGGAGTAATAAGGCAACTAATGAATGGCTGTGGAATATTGACTATAGCAATATTAATGGCGTAACATTTCTTGACGTAAAAAAAGCCTTTGACACTATGGACCATGTGATTTTACTGGAAAAGCTCTCACTCTATGGGGTCAGTTCTCTCTCCCTTAACTGGTTTCGGTCATATCTAACTGAAAGAAAACAACAAACGTTCATTGATGGAGCATTCTCAGATTTCTGTGATGTTACACGTGGTATTCCACAAAGATCTATTCTAGGACCTCAGTTATTTACTGGTTACATCAATGATCTTCCTGCCTATAACCTCTTCTGTAAACCCAGAATGTATGCTGATGATACTACACTTACTTCATCAGCTGAACACCCTCTTGGTCTAGAACAAAGAATGAACTATGATATGAATCAAATCCAGCCAAAAAAACCAAATTCATGCTTATTGGGAACCATTATAAGTTATCTCATATGAAAAAAAATTTCTCAGTTAAAATCAATGATGCCTCAATAGCAAGGGTAGTATAACATAAATATCTGGGAGTTCACACGGATTAACGTCTAAAGTAGCACTCACATGTGAAAGTTATTACTAAGAAAATAACTGCTGGTCTTACAGTTTTGAAACGCATCAGCCCCTTCATACTATTCGAGACAAGAATGAATACGTACAATGCATTAGTAATGCCTTACTTCAATTACTGTAGTGCGGTCTGGGGAAATATTGGGATAGGACTAGCAGATAAAATCCAGAAGTTACAGAATTGGGCTGCCGGAATTCTTACTTTTTCTAATTACAAGGTACGCTCAAAGGTGCTGTTGGATGTGCTTGTAAATCACTCGCCTTCTCGTGTTCTCCCAACATCCCAAGTGGGTTATCACGCCGGTAAACCCATAGAAAGTGTGGTCTATTGCTTAAATATAACCCAGATAGGTATGTGCCGCCCGAAATGGTCTGGTTTTTGTGGTGTTTCGGTCTGAAAACAGGTGTAGACTTTGCCCATTTTGGTCTAGAAAAAGGTATGGTTTTTGAGAAAACTACAGGAGTGACAAACGTACTTGTCTTTTCAATACCAAATGAATTAGAGCGAAAGAGTTATATGCAAATTTGAAATGGATTTAAAGAAATCTTTTTGTTGGTCGTCTAATCTAAGTAATGATTACGTAATTTCTACCTTTGTAAACATGTATGTTGCATTTCGTGACCTCCTCCAGGTCTGAAAATGGGCATGGATTTTACTCTAAGCGTGGTGTGAAAACAGGTGTGGTAAATGACATTTTTTGGTCTTAAATAGTGGCAGAATATGGGGAACTGGGTGGCACACCCCACCAAGAATTCCCAGGAACACCCACTGGGCTACTTCGTGGTTGCAAAATGAATATTTTTTATTTGTTTGTTTACAGCTAACACAATATTCAACATGGCCTCCAGCACAACTTCATATGCATCCACCAAGGAGACAACAAATTATGCTCGTCTGTGTCGTCTTCTTGTGGATGTAGGTTCTCAGACATTAAGAAACAAATTTGATAGTATTCACCCACCAGCAGGCCTAAATGGAGATCTTACAAAACCTCCTGTACACCCAATACTGCAGGCACTTAGAACGAGGAGAATTCTTAATCCCACTCAATGGGCCAAGCTGTATCCCCCTTCACCTTCATCCGTATCTTCGAAAGAGTTTGATGTGACACTGCTGATGTTGCTCTTAAGGAATATATGTGGCTTGACTCCTCCTACCACTGGTTGGGATAATCTCCCACCTGCTGCAGATACGAGTGCTGAAGCTAACATAGCAAGGGTGAAGTATTACCGGAACCTTGTAGTTGGACATGCGAGCCAGGCATCTGTGGATGATGCAACATTTAATTCCTATTGGCGGGATATAAGTAATGCACTGGTAGGACTGGGTGCAGATGCCACCGCTATCAATAAGCTGAAGACTGAGAGTATGGATCCTGTCTTTGAGAAACACTACCAAGAATTACTGAGGGAGTGGAAGAAAGATGATGATAACAGCAAAGACAGACTTGACGAGATTGAAGGTAACTTAAAAAGTCAATAATTATTGTGGATTGAAGAAATAACAATAAGCTTCAAAACACTGTTATGCATAAAGAAATGCTAGAACTGAAGGTGTGAGGCATGAATTGTTTCAGTAAACGTTCCATCTTTGAATCTCTTGTAAAATCATTATAACACATGTATTACACATAGACTAAAGTTTATTATTATTATAATTAATATTTTTTGAGCGATCGGAATAAATATCACCTGACAATTACATCACAATAGTTCTAGCTCTTAATCGAATTGCAGCCCTTATCGGCATTTTCTTTAGAAATGCTTGACGCTACCTGTACTTTGGGTGCTTGTCTTCTGTTGTTCGAAGTTTCACACAAATCTACAAAGGGAATTTTGAGATATCTTGGAATTTCTACTACTAGGGCATAAATTATGCATGAACTGAAGACTGGACTCAATGCAGACAAATTTGCTACCTTTTAGATGTTTCCGAGAAATTGTTATCACTCGTTCGTTTTGTAAATGACCCTCATACACTCCACAACTGGCTAAACGTAACTAGACTCGGGCGATTTCGAAAAACACGAAAACATGTAAATCGGGGTAAAACACAGTGCTGAGCTCTTTTTGTAATTTCAAAGGCTACTTTCGCGAAAACAGTGATTAAACTAAAATTCGTCAATAGTTGATAAAGTTGTCTAGCGTAGGCGCAAAATTGTAAAATTAAACGAGACTTACCTGTAGGTACAAGTTTGATTACAATTCTATCTTGTCATCAGTCCGGAACGAAGGAGTCACATGAGATGGGCATGCGCGTTGTGGATCAGTAGTTAACGTGAGTGATACAGGAAAAAGGAACGAAGGAGACAGGAGGGACGGTACAATAAGGGCATGTGACTCTTTCGTTCCGGACTGATGACAAGATAGAATCGTAATCAAACTTCAACTTACAGGTAACTCTCGTTTAATTTTATAATTCTAACTTGTCATCAGTCTGTGTCACTAAGGAGTCACATGAGTCCTGTAGAACGAACTACCCGTCCAATGTAAACAGTTCTATTCGCAGAACATGATGAACAAAGACAACACTGAGATTACACTGTGTCCTAATTTAACAATACTGCAGAGCCAAAAATTGCTTGAGGGGTGTCAACAGGTTTATCATGAAATCTGGAGAAAGTGCTTGAAATAGGCCATCCTGCACTTTTCATAATCTCTGCTAGGTTTAAACGTTTAGCCTTGCAACTGGATGTGGATGCTACTCTGTTGCTATGAGCCGAGTACTTCTTAATGTCAATACCAGCTGCCACTAACACTTGCTTAATCCACCTGGAAATGGTATCTTTGGATACAGGTTTGAATGGTTTGGCGCAGCTTAACAGTAACTTCTGTGCAATGTAAATATTCCTTTAGATGTTCAACCACACAGAGTTTCTTATCGTTTTGATAAGCAAATAAATCAATGGGTTCTAAATGTCTTCCAGGTTTAGTCTGCTTCAGTGTACCACATATAGTTATTCGGTATCTGCCGTCCATTTCTTGAATGTAGCTGACATCCATCTTGTGTATGCTCTGTCCTCTCTGCCCAGTTGTGAGGCAGAGTAGCAGGGTCAGATTTAAAGTAACGTCCTTGAAAGATAACGAGCTTATGGGCTCAAAAGTTCTTAAATATCCTAATACAATATTTACATCCCAAATTTTGGTATATTTGGGCAATGTTTCAACTAAAAAATCCCTTTCATGCAGCGGACTACTAGTGGGTGTTCTCCAGACTTGACTCCATCCTTCAGAGCAAGGATGGAGGAAAGCACAGAACGCAATGTGTTTATAGCACGATACCCCAGCCCTGCGTTGTATAAAAAACAATGAATTCAATGTCATTACTTACACCGAGCTCAAAAACATCAATGTTCCTTTCTATACAGTACTGTTGCCATTTGGTAAGATAAGTTTGGTATTGCTTGGAGGTACCTTCCTCCATGAAGCCATAAGCACGTCTTTTGCACATTGTGACAAATGATACTGGTTCAATCCCTCCCGCATAAGAAGACAAACGAGGAAGTTCAACTTGTGTCAGATTGGATGAATTCCCTTCGGATAGCTGGGCAGCTGAAGTAGATCTTTCCTTGCTTTGAGTTGTACTGGTTTTTCCCTGAGTAATTGAAGAGCTGCCAGGTAGCACGCCTGTGTTGGACAGTCTGACAACACGGAAACCCCCATTGCTCCCTCGCAATTAAATTTGCTTAACGCTGGTGGAATAACACTGAAAGGAGGGAAGGCATAAAAATACAGGTTAGACCAATCTAGGCTAAAAGCATCAACAGCAAAGGCCTCTGGTTCAGGTCTAAAGACACATATTTTGGAAATTGGTTGTTAATACGAGAGGCAAACAAGTCAACATCAGGCTTAAAATCTAGTGTCTCAAGGGCATTACAAAGAGATACTTTGCCAAACTGCCACTCAGATTCTCCTTGGTTTCTTCTAGATTCAAAATCTGCAATTAGGTTATTTTTCCCAGGGATATGTGCTGCACTTATCCATATCTGGCGAGCTATGCACCTCTCCCAAATCTCCTTAACTAGAGAATTACAAGGATCAGAGTGACTTGTGCCCATGTGGTTAATGGCATTCACTGCCGTAGTGCTATCACACCTTATTCTACTATGTGTGTTGCTTTTTCCTTTAGCAAAGTCTGGAGGCCTAAAAAAATTGCTAACATTTCCAAATAGTTGATGTGGTGTTTCGACTCTGAATGAAACCAATTCCCTCCTGCGGACATCCCTGTAGATTCAGCCCCCAACCCGTGCAGGGCAGCATCTGTTGTTATTTGATGTGAGGGTTGTGTGTGGTTTATCATATTGTATGTAGTTACGACATTTTCGATCCAGCATTGTAATTCAGATTTAGCAAGGCTGGATAGAGACATTGAGGCATCAAAATTGCCCTTTTTCTTCTTAAGGGCTTGGGATTTGTCTTTTTCAGGTGTCGGTAGTGAAGGGCCCCATGCAGTGTCATTACCAATGACACTTGCCACTTCCCTAATAGATAGAGATGGGCATGGTACTAACTCTGTACAAACCCTTTGCTAACCAGCGGTTTTTTCCCTGGTAAGCTGTAGTGTCATTGTTACTGAATTTATTACAAACCCCAAAATCTTGAGGATTTGGGTAGGTTTGAAAAAAAAACTTCTCCGGAAGTACAACCAACTCCAATTTGTCCAGCAATAGAGTGGTGTCTATAACATTTTTGACACATTTGTCATAAGTTTGCCCTTGCAAGTAAAGTTCATCAAGATGTGCGACAGCTATGTGACCTTGCTTGTGCAAAGAGGATAGTGGGGGTTTGAGGATTTTAGTAAAAATCCTTGGATCACATGACAGACCATTGGGAAAGCAAATGAATTCCTATAGGTTGCCCTCCCAAATAAAGCTTAAAAATTTTCGGTCTAAAGATCTGATGTGAATGGAATAATAGGCATGTTGTAAGTCAATAGCAGCCATAAAACAGTTTTTGGTTACAAGTTTTGTTGTGGTGGAAAGTGGGAGTTTTCTTGCGGGGGCGGTAGCCTTTGAACCCCCAGTGAGCCTTTGAATGTCGTTTTCGTCGTCCAGCTCGTCACCAACTAGCGTGAAGACTCAAATTGTCCTCTGTATGGCTATCATAACGTTGTCGTTTGCATGAGAATTTCCTTCGGAGTCAGAGTCTGAAATACCAAGGAGGTCAGATGTGGACTTTCGTTTTAAGCTCATGGGGCGTTCGTCTATATCAGGCTGATCATACAAGTTAGTCAAAATGCTAGCCATTTAACCCATGTTTTTGCTTATATTATCCAACGATATAGCAAGGTATTTGCCATTTAAAACATAAACAGAATCAAAGATGGAAGGTGTACCTACTAAAATACTGGGTCAAGCCACCTTAAGAGAATACATGCCAAGGAAGAGTGTTAGTAATTTCATGACCTGCAATACATTCCCTATCTTTAAGTAGGCTGTAATGACATTGGCAAATACACCAAGACCAACCCTGAATTTCAGCTGTCCCTTCGAGTTAGCGTCAGCTGAAATTTAGGCTGCCCTAGACCTTCCTGCAAACGAAAAAGGACAGTTTTTAAAAAACGTGGTGATGGTGATGATATTTTGTAGCTTCACTCCCTCCAAAAACTCTTGTACCCTTGAGATATTCTTGTCAACACTTGCTTGATAATCATTCCATTTAACTAGACTTTTACCTGTGATTCCTCCTGGACTGATCAATGGATTTTTGATTCTGATAACAAACAGAGCTACTAAAGCGCATGAATGATCAGCTAATGGAAAGTCAAAGGAAAATTATAGAAAGTTTGACAGATCATGCAGCAGAAACAAAGCAAGAAAAAGGTATGTCTATCACTTTGTGATAAACCTTGGTTGTATTCTACAGGGCCCTTAATATAAATGCTCTACCTTGCACAACTTACAACCAGATTTACATTGAATTTTCAGCTTAGACCCATCAATGGCACCGTTGCAGTTTTTTCCCCTCTGGTATTTAAAAGTGTTGAGCCTTTTTTTGTTTTGTTTTGTTTTTTTCGAAAATATCATCAATTAGTTCTAACCACCAAGAAAAACAGTCAACAAGCATACTTCTTTAGATGCAAGGGTAAATTAAAACAAACATTATTTGTATTAATTTTTGTATGTGCGCTATACTCGCCTTTCCTGTTTCAGGTTTCTCTTTTGTCCAGTTTCTGAGACTCATCCTACAATGATAGTACAATAGCACCCCTTTAATACGGACACTAGGGGTGGGAGGCGGTAGAAATAGTGTCCTCATTTACAGGTGTTTGTTTGAGGGAGATTCAATTTAGAGATAATGTAAGGGCTTTGCCTGCAACAAAAAAAACTGCTTGTAATAACGAGCTGCCCGCATTAAGCGGACGTCCGTTGAACTTGGTCAGACTAACGCGGTGCTATGATTTTATTTTTCTATCAGGTGCTTTTGACCCAAATGAATTTATCGATGGCATTCGCCAACTCTACAGCACCCGTGAAAGATGGATTGCACCCTTTCAGTGGTGGGAAAAATTTCGGTTAAGCCTTGATAACAATTTTACCAGACTCAAAATAGTGAGCAGGAAAAAAGAAAGAGGAACAAAGACTAATGAAACTCTTACGATAAACGATATCTTCAAACCACACGAGGAATGCTTACATCCTAGGACGGTGTTGATTGAAGGGAAGCCAGGTATAGGAAAGACCACATTCTGTAATAAACTTGCTTACGATTGGGCAGCGAAGAAACATGGGGAAGAAAATCCTTCAGGAAGTTTTTCTTCAAACTTCCAACTAGTTTTGTTGCTGAAATGCCGAGAAATAGAGTCTTACCTTTGCCGGGAAGGACAGCTTTTACCTCGATCCAAGAAAGAACAACTGGAAGAAATTTTTAAATCCGTTCTTTGGAACGCCATTGATGATCAACTTCTGCCTCAAGATGTCACAAAAGAAGATAAAGAGGAATTCTTCAAATTCATTCGCCATAATCAGCCAGACATTTTACTGGTACTTGACGGATTGGATGAGTTGCCTACCAATATGTTACCAGCGTTTAAGGAAGTAATTCAAGGAAGAATCTTACAAAGATGTCACATTGTAGTCACAGCACGACAGGAGGTTGGTATGGAGGTGCGCGAATGCTGCGATAGGTTGCTAGAAATTGAAGGTTTTACCAAAGACGACGCCCGAGAGTTTATCGTCAAATACTTTAAAGAGGACGCTCATTTGGCCGAGAAGCTATTAATCAAACTAAACCTTGACGAAAACCTCAGACAGCTGACAGAAAGTCCTTTAAACACTGTACTTCTCTGTCTCCTATGTGAAGACTTTGATGGTATATTTCCAGAGAGTGGTACACAGCTGTATCTAGAAATAGTAGACTGTGTTCTTAGAAGATACATGAAAAAGAATGGTTTACCACTACCAAAGGCCAAGGGCGAAGACCTTACTAAGCTATACAAGACTCAACTGAAACAGCTTGGCTCGATCGCGTTGAGCGGCCTCCTTCAGAATAACATGTCCTTTGAGGAAAGCAAGTTTGAAAATTGTTCACACGAATTACCAGAATTTGGTTTTTTGTCCGTTGAGTGTAGTCGGAGCAAACTGCGACCATCTTTATACTATTCCTTTTTACATAAAACATTTCAGGAACTATTTGCAGCATTTTACCTGTGTCGCCAAATTATGGATAACGAAATTTGTCCAGAAAACATGATTTCCGACCATAGATATTTCCATGAGCTCAAACAGGTGCTTGTGTTCACTTGCGGCCTGTTAGCTTTGCAATCTGAAGAAAAGGTAAAGCCTTTGATCGCCAGTATTGCTGTTCAGGCAGACAATGATGATAAATTATTGGTGGCATTACAGTGCATTGGCGAATGTAAAAACGACTCAAGTTCTTCTCTTCATTGGCTGTTAGCTCAAACCCTTGGGTCCATTATTCAAATAAAGGAGCTGAACCTGTCAGGCGACGGCCTTGGTCTTAATGAGTGTACTGTACTGGCAGAAACAATCAAGCACAATTCAACAATAACACAGTTGGATTTGTCATACAATGACCTTGGTGAGGGTGAATGTATTGCACTGGCAGAAGCAATCAAACACAATTCAACAATAACACAGTTAAATTTGAGTGACAGTCTTCGTGGCGGTAGTCAGTGTACTGCACTGGCGAAAGCAGTCAAATACAATTCAACAATTACAGAGTTGGACTTGTCATACAATCACCTTTTTGCTGATGATTGTAACGCATTTGCGGAAGCAATCAAACACAATTCAACAATAAGACAGTTGGATTTATCATACAGTCAACTTGATGATGATGGCTGTACTGCACTGGCAGAAGCAATCAAACACAATTCAACGATGCTACAATTGGATTTGTCATACAATCTCTTTGGTACTGGTGACTGTACTGCTCTGGCGAAAGCAATCAAACACAATTCAGTATTAACACATTTGGATTTGTCATGCAATGTATTTGGTGCTGGTGACTGTACTGCACTGGTGGAAGCAATCAAACACAATTCAGCAATAACGCAGTTGGATTTGAGAGGCAGTTTTCGTGGTGCTGATTACTGTCATGTACTGACGGAAATAATCAAACACAATTCAACAATAACGCAGTTGGATTTGTCATACAATGGCCTTGGATTTGGTGACTGCACTGCTCTGGGCGAAGCAATCAAACACAATTCAACAATAACATGGTTGGATTTGTCACACAATGACATCGATGCTGGTAACTGTACTGCACTGGCAGAAGCAATCATTTGCAATTCTACAATAACACAAATAAATTTGTCATACAATGGCCTTGGTTTTGGTGACTGCACGGCACTGGCGGAAGCAATTAAACACAATTCAAAAATAACGCATTTGGATTTGTCTTTTAATAGCCTTGGTGCTGGTGACTTTACTGCACCGGCGGAAGCAATCAAACACAATTCAACAATAACGCAGTTGGATTTGTCACACAATCTTCTTGGTACTGGTGACTGTACTGCACTGGTAGAAGCAATCAAACATAATTCAACAATAACACAGTTGGATTTGTCACGCAATGGCTTTGGCACTGGTGACTGCACTGCACTGGCTGAAGCAATCAAACACAATTCAACAATAACACAGTTGGATTTGTAACACAATCAACTCGGGAATGAAGACTTCACTGGCTGAAGCATCAAACATGATTCAACAATAACGCAGTTGTTACACAGTCTCTTTAGTACTGGCGAATGTACTGCACTGGCGGAAGTAATCAAACACAATTCAACAATAACGCAGTTGGATTTGTCATAGAATGAACTTGGTACTAGTGACTGTACTGCATCGACGGAAGCAATCAATCACAATTCCTTAATAATAGTTTAATATTTCAAATAATGGTCTTTCTTTTGTGTGACTGTATTTCACACTGGCGGAAGTATTATTACACAATTCAACATTAACACAGATGGATTAGTAAATACAGCGTTTAGTATTATTATCTATTGTAAACTCTTTGTACATTGTACTGTTGTTAAAGTAGTACCTGTGCCTTGTAAACTGTTTTGATACTGATAGAAAGGTGGACACACATGACGAAGCCCTACGAACGTCTGCTCGTAAGGCTACCTCCTCTCATGGGAAAAGAAAACCTAATCTAATCTCGCCCCCTACGGAGATCACCCAGCCAGGGACATTTCAAACTTAGAAATAAAGGGGAAATCTGGGAGAGATTTCAACTTCAGTTGTCCTTTTGACATGCGTTGAGGCAAAGAGAATAGTGGTTCAGGTGTTGGTTTGACGTTCGAGTTAGAGCCTAGACTGCTCGCAGTCCGCCTTTTCTCTTAAAATCCGTCTAGTTCTTCATCTCATCCAGCGCGATTGCAAACCTATAGGGATCGAGACGAGACGAGAAGAGACGCACTGCTGACTCTTTGTAGTAAACAAACCCTCCTTCAGCCCAGAAACGGAGTAACCGATTGGTCAACTGCACAACTGTTGACAGATCATTGACTGGTCTGTGGTGAGATCGCAAGCAATAAAAATAGTCACGCGTCACAAACAACTGCACACAATAGCGAACCAAGCAGTAATCTCAGTAATAAAACTTTTAAAGATATCTTACAGAAGGAAACTGCTGTAAATTTCCTCAAGGGAAACCAATTCAAGGCAATCTTACCAGATTTAAAGAAGGTGTAAGATTTTCAGTTGTTTATGTTCTATTTATAAATCGTTTCAAGCTACTCGGGTTTAATTAATTAATTAATTAATTAATTAAATTAGCTTGACAGGTTTGTTGTCCCCAGACAAAACTAAAGAGACAGTAGTCCCTTATTTTTTCTTTTTTCTTCTCGGGCTTACGCCCTCGTTTCTCGCGGCCAGCGGCTTGGCCGCTCGCGTTCTTAGGTTTTGCGTGTAGTAAATTTGCAAAGAAAACATAAGAGACTGCTCGCAGTCTAGTTAGAGCCCTGCCAGTGCAATTCCCTGGGCCAATATGTTAAGCAGATTTAGCTAAGACGATGCAACGTCGAATGAGAACGCAAATGAAAGCGACATCTGAAGTATCTGCTGCATTGGTTATTTCGGTTCTTAGTCTGTCGCCCGCAGAACGTTGTCATTGTTCAATCTACCGAAGGCGATATCAGTGTATTAGTACACTATCAAGAGACAACGAGGAAGACGGTAGAGGAAAGGTCCTCATGAAAAGTAATTTCGTGTTCTTTCAAGCTTCTGCCGATAATAAGCAAGTTCAGTGTTTGACACTGTATCATCGACATATAAAATACAACGTATCACCTCTACGCCGCTCATCCTTTCACTCCGGCGCTGTTCTCAGTTTGTACTGGTGTGCGGAATAATGTAATCTCATCTACAATTGAACAGACAAAGCGATTTTGGCCCACCTTGACGAAACCCAATGCACGCATGAAATGTTGATTTTGTCCCTTTCATATTGAGGCCGTGGTCAATTTCTGTAGTACTGCTATTATCTGGGTTACTCCCTACGTTGTTCGAAAGGCGAAATCTCTTGGGACGTAGTCGTACGCTGTTATTAAATCCACAAACACTGCTTTCAACGTTCCCTATTCTCTTAATCGCTGTCTTAACAATTATTATTCCATCAAGTGTCGCTCGATTCTGATGGACTCCGTATTACTCACTCGCGTAGATTTCGTATGCATCTCTAAATCGATTAATAAGTTTTGCGAGTATTCGGCTCATATTTGCCCTTACAGAGAGTCCACAATAGTTTGTAGCCACATTCTTTACCCCTTTTTAAACAGATATGTGATATGGGCGTGTAGTCCTGCATGCTGTTGGAATGACAACACACGTCCAGATCAAGATTAAGAGGGTAAAGATTGCACCAAACAGGCCCTTGCTGAAGTTTTAATTCAACCCTTTATCTTTCAGCTGCTTTAGTTCTTCCAGTGTGTTGTTGTTCTTAAAGCTCTTGATAACTTCTATAACTTTTCCTTAACCTGGGACATGTTAGTTCATGTTTGAATCTTTGTTCCTCAGGTGTTTCTAGTTCAGGGGGTAGTGATAGTTCTCGAACGCAAAGTGCGCCATTTCCCGGAAGTACCCATTCTTCAGTTTCCACTTCAGTTTCTTGATGGTTGCGTCTCTCCAAGTGTCTTTCTTCTTAAATGGGATATCAAGCAGACGTCTTCAATTCTTATAACTATTCGTTCAGTCACTTCCTTTACGTCAACTCCCTGAAATGCGGTGTTCAGTTTCTCTGTCAGTCTTCTTAGGATCTCCGGGCTGTCTTGTAGTGCTTGGGTATAAGGTGTCTGATTTACCTTACGTTTCAGTGACTTAGTTAGTTGGTGCCGTAACCCGAATCGTGAAGGGGAATTCTATATTAATCACATGTAGGCGATGATTCGTGTCAAACAAACGAAATGTTCAATGTACACTCGCTGGCAGCCGAAGAAAAAAATGGCAAACCACCACCTTGTAGTACAAATATAATCGACCCATTTCAACTTTTCTCTCATAGCATGTCTCCATGTTTGCCGATGGATTCTCCTTGTTCTGAAAAGTGAAAAAAAACAACGTTCAGGTTCAGCGTGATTTTCGTCTCGTTCTTATGCCACCCTATCAGCTCGTCGCATCGTTACTGTCGGTTTCGACCCTGTTAGGGATGTTCATTCCAGGAGTTGGTTCCCATGCTCCAAAGTCATTGTAATGCGAGGAGAAGGTACAGTTAAAATCACCAAGTGTCACTAGTTAATATTTGGGATCCTTGTAAAGTTCAACTTTGGCTGTTTTTATCGCCACGCTATACATTCAGCACAGCAAGGCGTGTCATCTCCACACTAATAATGGCAGGTAGATGTTCCTGATGGTTTACCAGTTTTTTTCATGTGGGGCTACTAGTTTGCCAACGCCATAGACAGGTTTCCTTTTATGGCCACTCCATAGTAGTTTCCAACTTCGCAAGGATTCATCGTCAAATGTCAATACTCCCGAAGATGTCAATCTAGCCTCTCGCAATGCTAAACGTCAAGTCACTTGCTGACTACACTGTTGTTGATCGTCTTGAAATGTTATGACTGTTATTGCTGTAATTCGAGTGTTTTTGTATCCAGCTCTGATAGAACTCAAGTGAAACAAGCAACACCAACGACTCTTGAAAGCTTTAGAATCTATTGAAGGTATGAGGAAGATTATTCTTTTTTGACGAAACATATGAAGACAGCTCAGTGTTTAAGACTTCGGGCAGTACGTACCTGGTCTGCATGGCCGTATTCCGTACAACCAACTGAGAACTCTAAGTAAGAAATGAAACATAGAACTTTAAGAACTTCTCCTTAAAGCTCATGAGGTATTTATGAAGTATAGTAGAGCACGCATTGGTCCTTTCACGTCCTAAGAGGAAAGCTTTGCCAAGTACTGTCCCTGAGATCTACGTAGAATTCTATGGATGGGAGGTGGGATGTGAATAACGATCTTTCCGTTAGGTTCTGCGTTCTAGGTACCGACAATGCCTTGAAACATATCAACCGGTCTATGAAGGTCACCGGTGGTTTGGTTGGGAGAACACTCAACTAGAGTGCCCGTATTAAGTGTTTTTCTTATTACTAATGATATGTCAAGACTAGCAGAACAATCGAAAAAGTGAGAGGAGTGACGCTTGTTGGGTCCTAGGTTAAGTTCTAACAGCAAATTGTCAAAACAATTACAATATTTACGAATCCCTTCAACCAAGACGGCAGTGGTTTGTTCACCCAGATGGCGAAAGTTGTAAGAGTACGCGTTCTTAAAAAGAAACGAATCCAAACAAGTTCTGTGAAGTCACCAATGAAAAACTGGCTCTGTAGGGAAATTTCAGTTAACGAGAGTCACAAACTTAGCGGCGCATGCTTAAATGTTAACTGACAACCATTGTTGAGAATAGTTTTTATCACTTTTCACCATTAATAGCTTACATTCATATTTTCAGTATTTTAAGCATTATCGTATTTCAGCTTAGTGGATGCAAAGTTATATGTGAAAAACCTGAAACTGGATGCATCTATCTCTAACTGTCTATCACTAGAAAATTTCTCGTCTGGTCAAGCTTTCTAGGCTTCTTTCTCCCTCTTCGGCTGGAACGAGTTCAAGGGACGGCCTGCAGCACAGATGAAGTAAGCGTAGTCTTCATCGGCGCTTGACTAACTCGATAAGCCTGTAACCCGGCAGGGACTACTGAGCATGAAATAACCTTATTCGGTCTGGCCAATGCATTGAAGCATGCTACACATTCTTTATTTTCCTAATAAGATCATGCAGTTTAAAACTGAATAAGAACTTCAAGGTTAAAAGACGAGCTTACTCTTTCCTCGGTTTGTTGCGCTTTCCGTTACAGCAAAGTGGACACAGCAAAAATATTTGGACACCGGGAATCATCTTGTCATTATTTGTGATCGGTTCTTTGCTTTCGTAAATAGCAAAGAGAATGTTCCATGTTTTATTTCGCGCGTCACGAGTCTAAAACAAGTGCAAGATACGCGTGACATGACCATTAACTTTACGTCAAATGGTTCATCGAACATTACGTTCCTAGTCAAGAAATATATTTGCTTTAATATGGAACGAAATAACAGGTACTTACATTTAATTTTTCTAGAACCATATCAACCTGTCAGCAAAGCGATACATCCAAG